GAGAAGGGACCCCAGGGGGCCGCAAGGAGGGAGGCAGGACAAGGTCCTGCTGAGCCTGCGTGGGGGCAGCCATGCTGGGAGCTGAGGGGCCCTGGGGGCCTGCGGGGCGTCTGGGTCTGCTGGGGGGCCTGCCAGCTTCGGAGGCATGCCCTCAGCTCTGGGCCTCAGGAGGGGTGCTCTGGGGCCTGCGGAGGGGCCGCGGGAGGGAGGCTGGGGTGCTGGGAGGCATGGCCTGCAGGCCTGCACTCGCCGAGCAGTGTCGGCTGAACGGAAGGCTCTCCTGGAGACCCAGAGGCGCCTTCGCAGCCCTGGCCTCAGTGTCCCCAAGCCCCTCTAAGCTCTGTGTCCCCCAGAGCTGGGAAGGCAACTGGCCGAGAGCTCCCGAGGCCATCGACCCGCCGCCATGTCAGCAGCGTCCCGTCTGCTCCCGCCACCAGGCTTTGCCCAGGCTGGTCCGGCCTCTGCCCTGCGCCTGCCCACTCGAGCACCTCTCTCGGGAAGGCGCCCCAGCTTCAGGTGAGGCCATGTGCCTCCACCCGAGGATCTCATAGCTGGTAATTGGAAAAAAAAAAAAAGCAAAGCCCCACTGCTCCCCAGGCCGGGCATGAGCACCGCCCGACGCCCCATCCGCGCAGAGCCCCGCGCCGGAGTCACGAGGCCGGGAACCGCGCCCCACCTCCCCCGTCCTGCCCGCGGCAGTTGTCTCCTCTGAGCATCTCCTGGCACCCGCTACGAGCCTGTTCTAAGCATCGGGGTCAGCCCGGCTGCTGCTCTGGGAGGGAGACTGATGATAAACAAGATGAAAGCGATAAAGCAAGGCGGGAGTCGGGGGTCAGAGCAGGGAAGGGGGGGCCATACTGCCAGTGTAGAGAGCAGCGTGGCGAGGCCCCCAGGAGGGACAGTGCGCGTGGACATTGGGGAAAACACTGCAGGCGGATGGCAGCAGCCTGTGCAAAGGCCCGGGGCCTGCGAGGGCGGCAGCGAGGAGGCCCGGCCAGGGGTGTGGGTGGGAGGTGCGGGCCGGCAGGCAGGGATTTTAGTGCCCGCTCTTGAGGACGGCGGCCTGGCAGTGCCTGCGGTATCGCCTGCATGGAGCGCAGCGTGTGGCTGGGGCGGGCAGCACTAGGCTGGGTCACGTGAGTCATCAGCGCCCCATTTAAAGAGTGCGAAGCAAGCCAGCAGCGGGAGGTGTGTTTGCCACACATGGAACTGACAAGTCTTGCTGGCGGAACCCCCACAAATCAATACGGCCTCCCGGAGGAAAGTCTGCACAGACCTCACCAGAGAGGAAATCGGAACAGGCCGCACAATTAACAGCACCCACCCCCCAAAACAGCGCCGTGCCACCTGCCGGTCACGCCCAGTGTTGTGGTGACTGGAGGATCCCCCATCCTGTGGGGCAGGTTGGGCAGCAGCTCCTTGGAGGTGTGACCCTCTCCCTAAAGCTGCCCTGGGCCCAGTAGTCCCACTCTGGGGTACCCCAGAAAGCATGTGCCCCCCGCAGCTTTATTCACAAAGTCCAGGCCGGAAGCCGAGCAGAGTCCATGCATGAAAGGATTCAGTCCCACGTTGGCTCCCCAGGGAGGCCAGCCAGGGCCACTCCACCCCACCCAGGGTGGCTCCAGATGCTGTTTTGGTGAAAAAAGCCACCTGAAAAGCACAGGCCACACAGCCCCCCACATGGTGCGCCCCCAGGCCAGCACGTGACCTCTTGGCACCAGGCCCCAGGAAAACTAGGCCTTGCTTATCACAGTCAGGTTCCGGGACCACGGGTAGGGGGGCTGTGATTAGGGAAGGGTCTGGGGCCTATGTGTGTGTATGTGGGGGTGTTGGCAGCACCTGGGGGCAGTTGTAACTTAATCTCCACCCTGAACATGTATTTATTAATTTTTTCTGTTTCCCTATCTATCGCAGTTCACAACTTTGAAAATGACATTTGGCGGGCAGGGTGGACTGGTGAGGGGAACAGCAATGGGTTTCCAGGATCCCAGATGCCAAGAGAGGCGACAGACCCTGTGCCCTGTGTGGAGGCAGCAGAGGAGCTCAGGCAGCTCCGCAAACAGGAGGCAGCAGGGGCTTGCCAATATTTGGGAATATTTCAGAGTCACAGGAAGAGCCCCCAGGCAGCCAGAGGCAGGACCACTGAGTGAGCTGGGGTCAAGGGGCAAAGGGTGGGGGCATGCATTAGCCCAGAGCCAAGGGTCAGACCTGGGGGAGCCTGACTGTGGGCCAGCCCCAGCCAGGCACTGGGAGGTCAAGCCCAGACCTTGGGTCCCGGGGCGAGATGGAGAACATTCCGCTCACCTCCCCCACCACCATGCCTCTGTCCCCCCAAACACATCCTGTCTCCTCAGACCCCTGGGTCTTTGCACTACTTAGAAGGCCTACCCTGTCTGTCCTTGCAAATTCCTACGCATCCGTTGAGCTTTGGCTCAAATGTCCCTGCTTCCAGGAAGCCCTCCCTGATATTCCAGGCCTGGGGCCCTGGGAAGACCCTCCAGTGGGTCTGTGTCCCGCTGTAGAGGGTGGCCTGGGTCTTACTGTGTCTGAGTCCAGCACAGGGCCTGGCACACAGAGGGGGAGAGTGCACATGGGGGTGTCGGGTCAGAGGGTCACATGGAGAAGGTGACTGGAGGAGAGGCGGTGTGGACAAGAAGGCAGGTGGAGGGCATTCTGGGAGAGGAAGGGCAGGCAGAGGCAGGGTAGCACGAGGAGTCAGCACGTTTGGGAGTGGGCTGGTTGGTGAGGAGTGGGAGTCAGACGGGGGTTGGGGAGGGTACCCCATAAAGGGAGCCTCGGTGGGTCAGACGGCAGAGTCCTCATGCTCATTTGACAAGTATTTACTGGCTGTGCACACAGCCAGTCTGGGTCCAGGCAATGGTCAGCGTGGCAGGGAGGGGGTGGGGCGGGCAACGGCCTCCTGACCCCTCAGTTCCAGGCCTGACCCCTCAGATGCCCAGGCCTGGACTGCCCGGTGCAGGAACCACACTGGGGGCCAGAAGGCAGGGCCCAGGAGCAGGTCAGCCTCGACACTCCTGGACCCTCCCACTCGGATCACAGATGCATCTTGTTCCGCGGTTGGGCGGTTCCCATGTCCCCCAGGAGGCCCCTACCTGGGCCCGGAATGTGGGCCAGGTCATCCCCAGTAGTGCCTGTCACCCCTCCTACCACCCCTGGTAGGTGGGGGTGGTTAGGACAGACGAGGCCTGAGAGGTCACCCGAGGCCAGACAGGGTCTGTGCCCTCCAGAGGGGCCCCTCACCCCTCCAGGTCTCCCCGTCTTGCACCCATGGCACTAAATGTGGGACAGAATCCAACAGGCCACTGGCATGGAAAAAACGGTCTGGAGAGGCCTGCAAGGCAGCTCTGAGAACATGAATGGGGTGAGGGGAAGAGGGGGCAGGACCCCCAATACAGGGAGGCTCTGCTGGGTGCTGGCCCCACGAGATCCCTGCTCCTGCCAGCTCTAGAACGCCGCCCCAGCTGAAGGGCCATGGGGCCCAGCGCAACCCAGAAGCCGGGGTCCCGGCACTGCCACCATCCTTTGGGGCCCAGCCCTGGGTGGCCCTCAGCCCGCCTGGCCAAGAGCGCCCAGCAGCCTCAGAGCTCGGGCAGCAGGTATGCCCACCTGCCCACCTGGGCCCCCAACCAGGCTGGGCTGTCTGTCACCTGTGCCCAGCACACACAGGCGGGTGCTCCAGAACCTTGGCGGCACATGGAGAGAGAAGGGGAAAGAGAAGCACAGAGGGACCTCCAGGGCCTCAGGGCTCACCAGGAGCCTTTTCCTCAAGTCCCATCCGATCCAAGTCGTGCCACCTCCTCCCTCCACCAGGATCCAGCCCCAGCAGGGCACAGGGGAGATGGCAGCCAACATGGACACCACCCCTGGGGTCAGCGGCCCAAGTTCAACCGCGCGCCAGAGCCAGGGCTCCTCTCCACAGGCCTCACGAGCCCCGAGTGGACCTAGCCCGCAGCCAGGTGAAGCCGGCGGATGCACGCTGGCATGGGGATGAGCGCCTGGCACCGAGGAAGGCCGCCCTCCCCCCAGCCCAGGACCAGCGGACTATGGCCCTGGCCCCACCAGAGAGGGCGGCACTCCAGCCCAGGGCCAGGAGACGGCCCAGCCCTGCGTGCCCGCCTGGGGTCTCCGTGCCCGTCCACTGTGCCCAGGCTGTATCACCAGAGGTCAGCTGAGGAGGCCAGGGCCCCTCTTCCCTGGACCCCAGGGCCTGCTCCTTGGGGAGTGGGGTACCCGGCCTCCATGGGTGCTGATGCTGGCCCCCGAGGGGGGAGGCTGGGCACGAGGAGGCCGGGGACCCCCCAGGGCCGCGGAGGGTGCTGAAGCCGGGCTGCCAGGAGCTGGGCCTGCTGCCCGCACAACGCCTGGCTCACACTCCGGAAGGAAAACACAGGAGGGGTGTTCCCGAAGTGGGGGTCAGGGCGCGAGGAAGCAGCGGAGGAAGTCGTGAATATTCAAATCCGCCCCGGGCCTGCCCCAAGGGGCCTGCTGGAGTCCACGAGGCTCTCGAAGTTCAGCACCGGAGAGGCCGCAGGGGACACCCCCGGCTGCCACCGCGGGATTCCCCCAAAATGGCTCCACGACACCACAGCCTGGGCCGGCGCGAGGACGCCACCCCCACCCGCCCCCACGAGGCGGAAACTTGAGAGCTCGGAGCCGGCAACTGTCATCTGGGGGGCGCGGGGCGAGCCCGCTCGGCGGAGCCGCCGCGGCCCGAACCGGGGTCCCGGGGCGCGATGGGGCGTGGGGCGCGGCCCGGGGCCCCGGAGGCCCTCGGCGGCGCCCCCCTCCCCCAGCGCCGCGGCCCGGCCGGGCGGGGAGCCCCCGCGCGGGGCGCCCCATTGTCTCGCCGCGCGCACACGCACCACACCCCGGCACCTGGGTCCGGGCCGGACCCGCCGAGGCGGCCGCTGCGCCCCGCGGAGCCGCGCCCCGCCCGCCCGCCCGCGCCCCCCGCGCCCCCGGCCCCGCGAGCCCGCGGCGCGAGACGCCCCACTCACCTGAGTTTCTCCATGTCTGCGGCAGAGGCCTGCGGGGAACCAAACAGAGGGTCAGCGCGCAGGGGCGTGCGCTCCGGCCGGCGGGCGGGGTCGGGCCCCGCGGGCCCCGCGGGCGCGGCGGGGCACGGTGCCCGCGGGGCTCGGCCGGCGGCGAGCCCGCGCCCGCGCGCCCCCGACCCCACCCTCGCCGCGGTCCCGGGGACTCGGGGTGCGCCGGGCCGCGGCCGAGTAACAGGTGAGCCCGCCCGGGCCGCCGCGCGCCCCGGCGCCGAGTTACGCCCCCCGGGGCGAGGAGGGGCCGGCCCGGGGACGCGGGCGGGCCGGCGCGGGCCCCCCGGGGGCTCGGCGGAAGGAGGGGGCCCCGGCCGGGTCCCGCGAACTCTCCCGCGGCCGCGGCCCTCGCCGCTCCCCGCCGCCCCGCCCGTTAACCCTCCAGCCCCGCGCCCCTCCCGGGGAAGTGGAGCCCCGGGATCGCGGAGCCCCCGGGCGGGAGGACGCGCGCGGGGGAGACTCGGGGCCCGCGGGGCGGCGGGCGCGGACACTCACGCCGCCGGGGGGTGGCATCGGGGGCCTCGCACTCTTCGGTCGGGGGCCCCGCGGGCCTCAGATTCCGGGGCTCGGGGCCTGGCGCGCCCCTCCCGGCCCGAGGGATTAACCCCTGCGCGCCGGGCTCGCCGAGGGGCTCCTGCCGGGCGTGCGCAGACCCGCCCGCGCGCTCGGGGACCCTCCCCGCCCAGCCCAGCCCCCGGGCCCCGCCGCGGCCGTTAACCCCGCGGGCGCCGGCGACACCCCGGCGGGCGGCGCGTCCTGGCGGCGGGGGGCGGGGCGGGCTCGGCGCCCGGGAGGCCGCTCCGGGCCGGCCCCTCCTGCGGGGTCGGGGCTGGGCGCGGGGGGCCGGGGCGCCGAGCCGGGCCCGCGCCACACACCTGGGAAGACTGGTGGCTGCCCATCCCGGCCCCTGCGCCGGGCGCCGCCGCGTCCGCCGGGAGCGCGCTCCGCTCCGGTCCGGGCCCGCCGCCTCCCCCACGGCCCCGCCGGGCGAGGGCGCAGCCCGGCCACCCGCGCCCCGCTGGAGGGCCCGGCCCGGCCGGGGCCACCGCCTCGCGGGCCGCCCTTCCTGGGGCTCCCCCGGGCGCGGCTTCCTCACCTGGAAGCTGGGGTCGCGCGGGGTGCCAAGGTCCTCTCGGCTGCCCTTCTGCGCCCGCGGGCTGCGGAGGGCTGGGGTCGGGGCAAGGACTTGCCAAGGAAATGATCCCCAAAGAGCTGGAGTTGGCGGCCAGGCGGAACCCCAGCGCTCCAGAAGTTGTGGAGACCTCGAGCCTGGACCGCCTCTGGGCACTGGCCTCCTGGCCGGCACCTCCCCCAGGCCCCTGATGCCTCGCGCGCCGGTCCCAGGTCCCATCACTGCCCGCAGCACACTCCATCCCAGCATACAGCAGGCGCTCAATAAACACGGATACCGCATGTCTGGAGCCCCCGGGGCTGCCCTGCCCTCTCCCTGCCTCTTCCTCTCCGGCTGTGCTTCCTGGCAGGAGCCCTGTCCCTTCACCAGGGCACCCCGGCGCCCAGCAGGCCTGGCCTCCACAGGGCCAGCTCAGGGTGGGAGGAGCCCAGCACTGGGGAGGGTCAGCCCCAAGCCCCAAAACCCAAGTGTTCCATCATTCACCGAGGTGCCTCAGGCCCTCATTCTCTCTGGGCTGAGTTCTTGGGGTGCAGAGAGGTGACCGATGAAGTGATCCCTGCCCCCCAGGGGCTAATGGTTGAGAAAAGAACCCCCAACAGCCCTGGGAGTCCACCCTCAGCAGAAAGGAAGGTGATGAAGCAGAGACCCCCCCAAGTCCTCACTGGCTCATAATGCTGCCCATCTGGCCCCAGGGAAGTGGTCACCCCTATTTTATAGACAAGTGAAGCAAAGTTCAGAAAGATGAGTCCTGCTGGGCAAGACCCCGTTCCCCAGAGGCCTTTCCCCCCAAAGCAGGGGACACCCTTCGCGTGTCTCCACTTGTCCCAATCACTCACAGTGAATCACCTGTCAGGGAGTTGGTCTCAAATTAATAAGAACGTATTAAAATTTAATTTTAAAAATCCAGTGTTAATTATTTATATCGAATGTTTCAGCTCTTCTAAAAGGCCTGTCTGGGGATTTCTCCTCCATAGAAGGACTCTAGAAGAGGCTGGTGAGTTGCCCTGTGGCATGGGATGGGGGTGGGGTGGAGGATGGTAGGGCAGGAATCCAGGCCTGGAAACTGGACATCACTTCCCTTCACTCCAGCTTCCAGACCCTGAAGCCTGGCTCAGTGTCCAAATTCTTCCCAGGCCCACTGTCTGGTGGGATAACCATTGTCCTTATCCGTAAAGGCTGCCTCCTCCAGGCAGTCCTCCATCCTTGGAAGCCCAGTGGGGTTTCACCCTCACACCAGAGGGACACTCCCTGGGGCAGGGCTTGTGTCTTTCCAGGCTGTGTCTGGCACCTCACCCAGGGGTGCACAGGAGGCTCTGTGTGTGTGACGAGCTGCCCGTGGTCAGGGAGCAGGAGAGCAATGAGGCTGGGCTGATGGGGAGCTGCTATGCCTTTGGCAGCCATCTTGGTGTTGGGCCAGGGCCACATGTTCAAGTCTTGACACTGAAATTCGCTAACCACAGATTTGGGGACGTTTCCAAGATGCCCTTACTTCTGCAGAACTTGTCCACCTGAGGGTAGCCCAGGCCTGCCTAATTGGGCTGGGCAGCAGGGCAGGGCACTGCCTGGATCTCTGGCCATAGGAGGTGTCCACGGCCTCCTCATTAGAGGAGGGTGGGTAGGGTAGGACCATGAATATTCAAATCCGGGCATGGGACCCCAGGCAAGTGGGGTCTCAGTGCTCTCCTGACACAGGCAAGGTACAGGGGGGCCTCAGGGTGCTGCTGGCCCTCCCGCCGCCCCACACTCACGGCCCGCGGCCTCTCCCTGCTCACACCTGTGCCCTCCCCATTGCCAGCCCTAGATGCTGCCGGTGGCTGGGGGACTGCAGCCCAGCAGCATCTTTGTTCCCCAACAACCTCACGGAGCCGGCACGTTGTCCCCTGGACATGCCACACGCCCCCACGTCTGCTCACCCGCCGGCCCCTCAGTGTCCTTGTCCCAGCTGGTCCCTCCCAGCCCCTGCGCTCCGCCCAGTTCCCGGTCAGCCACCTCTACCTCCCTCCTGCCACCCGCCTCCTTCCCGTCTTCCTGTGGGATGCTGGGCTCTGGGGAGGCCGCCTGGGCAGAAGGGGCCACCCACCCTTTATTCTGCAGCGAAATCAATTTACAGCTACAAAAAACAGAGGCTCCAGCAGGCAAAATCCTGCCATTTGTGCTCAGTCGTGGCGGGGTGAATACCGACTTGCCCTCCCTGACCTCTGGCCATACCCCCAACTGGCTCTCACCTGGCACACACCAGCCACACGGGCCCCCGGGTTGGTCCCAAGCTTGCCCACCTCACTTCTGCCTCAGGACCTTTGCACGTCTTCCTTCTGTGCCAAATGCTCCACCCACATCTTTACAAACTGGCGCCTCCCCCACCAAATGATGCCTCATCCCTTCCTGCTCTTGGTCCCCTGCCCTCAAGTCCCTCAGCCTGACCGCAGGGCCCTGCCTCAGGTGAAGGCACTTGCTCTTAGTCCCAAACCAAGAGTACCTGCTCCTCACCCTCGCCGCCAGTTTCTTCAGTTTCCCCTTTGTCCTGATCCCCCACCTCAAGGGAGGAAAGGAGCAGGAGAATATGGAAGCAGAGAGGAGGCCTGGGGCCAGGTCAGGCCTGGCCAATCCCTGCCCATGGCGGTCCCCTGGCCCTCCTGTGCTGTGTGACCTCGGGTCAGGCTTTCGACCGTCCGAGCTCACCCCTCCTCGGGCGGGGTGGAAAGTCCTCACGGGCATCACAAGCGACTAGTGACCTCCGCTCACCTTCCTGGGAGTGCCTGTTGTAGGGGTTCCGCAGTGAAGAGACTAGCGGGACTCAGCTCACGTGCTGGTGTTCACTGGGGGGGAGACAGACCCCACGGGACATCACCCTGCACCCCCCTGCGTCTGATGGACAGCTAGGACCGGGCTGAGGACCCCAACTCTCCACTTGAACTGCCAAGATGAAAAGTGAACAGACTGGGGAGCCAGTAGGGGAACAGACCCTGGAGTGGGGTTCCTGGTGATTTGGGGGGGCATCCAGTCACCAGTAAGGAGGAAGGGCCAAGTGGGGGGCCATGGTGGGCCTTCAATCTATCCTGAAGGGGTTGGAGGCCCCCATGGGCTGAAAGAGTGTGGAGGGTGCGCTCAGGGGTGAGTGCAGGTCCCGGGGTCCAGGCGGGTGGGGGTGGGGTGTAGGTGGGAGAAAGAACTGCCAGAGACCAGGTCAAGTGCTGGGGGCTGGGCAGCAGGTGGCTCGGGGAGCAGACTGGGGTTCAGGTCCAGAGGTCCCTATCAGACAACTCAGTAGGGATATGGACGAGGGTGTGAGTGGTGGGTTTGGGGTAAGAGGAGGGTGCAGGAGATGTGTGTCTGAGAGCCACCCCATGAGCGGGCTAGGGTGGGGGGCGATCGTGGGTAAGAGCAGGGGTTCGGCTACGGCCAGGTCAGAGGGCCTCACCGATACCTCCCCTGAGAGCCGCTGAGCCCCCAGCCAGAGGGCAGCTGGGCCCTGGCTGGCTGTCCCCCAGGAGGGGCTGTGGGGCTCCGGCCCCACCCTGCAGGCCCTACCGGGCCTGCCTTTCCCAGGGAGGGCGGTGCAGCGCACCAGGTTCGCGGCTGCAAACTGGCCTCCTGAGCTAAATCGGGCCTTCCAGCATGTTGAATTTGGCCTGCAAGAGGGTTTTAATTTTTTTTTAAAAAAAACATTTGAGCCAACATTTAAAAATTGGGAGCATTTACATTTTAAAATCCATATTTTTGGCTTCTACTGAAATTTTGGGAGATCTGGCAACTGCGGCCCACATTCCCACGTGGCAACCATCGGGGAGCTGGAAGCAGTCACCCTCTCCAGAGGCACCTCAGGGGTACCATTCACACTCAAGTTTGTCCTACAGGTAGGGAGACTGAGGCCCAGAGGGTGGAGGACTTGCTGGGGTCACATGGTGGGAAAGCCCCTGGCACAGAATCCAGCCACAGCTCTGGGGACTTCCAGGTTGGCATGGGGGGCCTGTCATGCCCCACCTGGGTGCTTCAGAGCCCCCAGCACCCCCTCCTTCTGTGGTCCTGTCCTGTGCTTCCTGATCTCTTTCTCTGACCCCTTTGCTCTCTGGAAGTGGCTGGGTTGAGTCATTCACACTATAGTATGAGTTAGGGTTGGTACCAGGTCTGTGGGTAGTGATAGCTGGAGGCTCCACAGAACTTCCATGTGACTTTTTCTTTGCTGGACAATGAGAGGGAGGGCCATGGACCTACCTGTGACCACACAGCTGGATGGCGCAGGGCGAGGACTGAAATTCCAGGCCCTCCCCCGTCTCCCCAAGGTGGATAATGATGGCGCTGCAGGCATCGCCTTAGCAAGCGCTTTCTGGCTGATGACTGGAAGCCAGGGGTCGACCTTGCTTCCCTGAAGCTCCACCCCACTCTAGGAACTCTGCTGGGGACACAAGCCTGTCCAGGGTAGGGGGGCAGGGGCACAGGCACTTCACCACCATCAGCTTGAGCATTGGGCTCCTCCCAATCTCCTGCCACCTCCAAGTGCCCCCCACCCCCCGACACATGAAGGCACTGAGGGCACGTGGGCGGCCTGGGCTCACTGGGTCAAGGCTCATCCCAGCCGGGCCCACTGCGCTGAGCCCCGAGCCTCAGCCCCTGCTCTGGGTGGGCCTGCTCCCAGGTCTCCCGGAGCGACATCCCGAGTCTTGGATGTGAGGTGGGAGCCCCGGGACCCAGCACGTGACGGACAGCGGGTGGCTGAGGCAAGGGCAGATGCCCACCTCCATCTTGAAGGAGTCCTGCTCCCCGGCACTCACTGGGGCGCGGCGGTGCCCAGAGTGAGGCGTGCTGAGCCCAGCGTGGAGGAGAGGCGGGCCCAGGGCGCCGGCCCTGGGAGGCCTCGTGTGACAAGCAAAGGAAAAACTGCCCCCGCAACCGGCTCTCCACCACTGGGGCGGCGACCTGGGCAGGCCCAAGAGCAGATGGCAAGCCCTGAACTGAGTGGCCGCGGAGTAGACGTCCCGGCGGAGCCCGGGGAAGGGTGGGCGGGCTTCCCCGGGCTCCCACTCGTTGCTGTCCCAGCTGTTCCCTGAGAACAGCGAAGCCGAGGCGGCGGCAGCGCGGGGGGAGGTGAGATGCCTGGGCCCAGCCCCAGCCTCTCCGAGTGACCTGTCTGTGCCTCAGTTTCCTCCTCTGCACAGGAGCTGAATGACTGCCCCCTCCCGGGGGTGCCCAGAGGCTTGGGATCAAGAACTTAGAGCAGCCGTTCTAAGGATAGCCGTGAGGGGGCTGTGGGGCGGGGAGGGGGTCTCCTGCCCTCCCCCTCAGGGCAGCCTTTCTGGGAGGGGCCTGGTCCAGATCCCTGCCAACCTAGCCCGAGGTCCTCACCCTGGTCCTGTGCCAGAAGTCACGTCCTGACAGGCCGGCGGGACAGACAGTCCAGAACCCACCCAGCCCCGGGGGACACAGAGGGCGCGGGGGACAGAAAGTCAGCACCAAGGTGCCCCTGTCCAGACGCTGTCCACTCCACCCCCGAGCGTGGCTAAGTAGGTCTTTCCATAGCTTTTTGATTATCTGTCTGTTCGTCTGTCTGAGGCCAGAGGGGGCGTGTGGAGGGGGTGCTGAGGGCTAGGAAGACCCTTGAATGTAGGTCTGAAGCCCCCCGGCGTGAGCAGCAGCAGGCACAGCCTCAGCTCGCAGCCCCATACGGTGGGCGCAGCTGCGAAGACCCAGCGGGACAGGGACGGGGCTGTGACTGGCTACTGTACATGGAGGTGTCAGGCTCGAAAATTCAAAAGGGTGATCCCATGAATCCGGGGTAAACCACCCAGGGCCCGCCGACATGCTGTGGGGTAGTATTAGTTTGCTATTATTGTTTCCTTGTCTGCATTCAGTCCAAAAATATTCTGCCTGCTCCAGAATCGGAAATTTCACCTTAGAGATTCATTTCTTTGGTACTAACTGCTGCTCCTATTAGATGTATTACGAAACAGGTATAATGAGGGAGCTTGGAGGGTCAGACGGGGCTTGGCACATGGAATGGGGAGGGAAGGGGCCACCACAGACCAGCTGCCTGAGGGGGGCTGGGCTGGGCCGACACTCACCTGGCCGGGAGGCCTCCGGGGGGAGACGGCTTGGCCTCCTTGCTGGCCACTGGTCTCCACAGGCCGGCGTGGCCTGACTCTGCTCGCACCCTCAGCTGCTGCCTCGCCAGCCAGTGGGGGGCCCAGGACCAGGATCTTCTCTGGGGCTGCAGTTCGCACAAGGGGTCCCTGGGCCAGGCCTGGACCTCGCACACTGGGGGAGGGCTCCGGGCTGTGGCCTCTGGGGCCCCGGAGGACCTCTAGGGTCCCGGGGGCCAGGACCCGCACAGAGACCTCATCAAGGAACCTGGAGAAGGGCAGTCTGGCTTCCTGCCGGCGGCCCAAGCAGGCGAGGGGGCAGGTGGCAGGCCTGTTACCCACGCTCAGGGGCTCTGGGGGGAAGGGCAGGCCAGGCGCTGCCCGTGTCTTCTCCTGGCCAGGGCGGGCTGCCCAGCTGGATTGTGATGTCTGGCCCTCAGGGCTCCGACTGGGGTTGGGACTTGCCTTGTAGCCCCGAAAGTCCTCCCTGCGTGCCTCATTCCTGGGAGGCCCGGGCCTGGGCTCCAGGAGGCAGCTGTGGCCGTCCTGAGGGGGGCTGCTGGGATCCCAGCCCTGGACCCGGGAGCAGGCCCCAGAAAACATCCTCCTTGCTCGGGCCAAGGCCAAGCCTCTCCAAGCACCTCTCTGACCCCTGCTTCTCTCCTCCCGCGGGGCTGGGAGCCTGTGCCCTCTCTGGGCAGGGCTGCCTGGCAGCTCACTGGCCGGAGTGATGAGCTGGATGCCCATCGACCCAAGAGCACGTGGCAGGACGGCCTCCCACCCCCACATTGATTCTCACTAAATGGGAATTTGGCTCCAGGGCTTAGAAAGTGCTGGAGAGGCGAAGGTCATGTCTGGGCTCCGTGTCTGCCGGGCTGTGTGTGGGGGTGCAGGCTGCGCTGAGTGAAGACCTGCCAGATGCAGAGAGGGGCTCTGGGCTGGGCCTCACACACCCGCTCACAGTGGCCCCTGTCTCATCTGCCAAGGGCAGTGGTCCAGGGACATGGCGAGGCAAGTGGCGAGAGATGGCCACAGTCACGGCGCGTGGGAGGGGAAGCCAGAATGACCCAACTGGCAAAAGGGGCGGGCGTGGCGGAGACCGCTAGCGGCCTGCTGTTCTCCCGCCCTGCCTATTCAAGGGCCCTTACTGCATTCTGGAAGGCGGGATACCCAGCTAAAATACTGCATTTCCCAAGCTCCTCTGAAAGCCAGGGGTGCACAATGATCTAACAGAAGCTGTGGGTGTGCCACAGCGAGCGCTCCCTGGAAGGGCTCAGGCAGCTCGCCTGTACCCCTTTTGTTCCCACTCCCCGTCCTCCTGATTCTTACCTGGAACACGGAAGTGATGGGTGGAGATGCCGCAGTTACTGTGTGCCATGAGGCCGGCTTGTGGCAGAAGCCACATGGAAAAGATGGAGGAGCAGAAAGAGAACAGGTACCTGGGTGCCCGATGACCACTCAGTCATCTCCGCGGCTTCGGGCCACCTGCCTCCGGCGCTTTTTTAACTGGAGGGAGAAACCCTCCCCGCCCCCATGCTTTATTTGTCATGCTTGTTTCTGCTGTCACTAGCAGCGGTGGGCAGCCCCTTGGTGATACACGGGACTCAGGGGAGGAGCAGCGGTTGGTTAAAACTGTGAGGCCAGAGCCTGCGGCCTGTGCAGGTCCAGGAGCATCAGAGGGCAGAGGGGCCGGAGGAGGTTATCCCGGGGGAGGGCCGGCCAGGCCTGGCACTTTCCTCCCCAGCTTGTAGGAGACACGCCTGTCCCTAGCATCTCCGGAAGCCAGGGGTCCAGGCAGGACTCGGGGTGGAGCTGATGGGCACTGGGGTCCAAGAAAGACTCGCTTTGGTGGCCAGAGGTGGCCACCAGCACCATCCCTGGCACGGCCTCTGGTGCTGCCCAGCACGGCCTCCTTGGCACTGCCTGCTCACGGAAGCCCCGCGTCGAGTGCTGGGACTCCTCTTTCCTGCGCTCAGTCGATTATCCCTCCGGGTGCCCGAGAACTCCATGCGCTCCGCTGCCCAAGACAGGGGTGGGCACTGCCTGGAACCCTCCTTCTCCCCTTCTCAACGCCGCGCCTGATGTCCAGGCCTGGCAGTTCACCTTCTCCTCCACCTGCTCACCTTCCTCCATCCCCACCACCACCTTGCTGCTCCCTGGTACTGCCATGTCTTACCTGGACACCTGCAAAACCCTCCCTGGGGCCCCTCACCCGATGCTGGTCCAGCTCGGTCCATCGCACTAAAACCTCCAGCATGACCTTTTAAGATCACAGACCAAATGACCACACAACATCGCACGACCACCCCCCGATGGCCCTGTGTCTTCACCCGGTTCTTGCCTCGCTAAGCCCTGTCTGTCTCAGGGCCTTTGCACTGGCTGTTCCCTCTGCCGGGAACCCTCCCCCTCCCCCCCACTAACTCCCAGGTAACTTTCAGAGCCCCAGTTCATCCCCGTCCAGCCCCAGATTACATCAGGCACCCCTACAACAGCCTCATATAACCTGCTCTCGCCATAACACACTCCAACCACAACACGCATTTTCCATCACGTGTTTATTCTCTGTGCCCCGAGAATGTAAGGCCCACTGTCCCGGGTCTCTGCGCACAGAGTAGCAGTTCTTGGATGGATGGATGGACGGATGGATGGACGGACGGATGGATGGATGCATCAAAGTTCAGGCCATCAGATGATAAGCATCGCCACCCTGAGTGGACAGGCTCTGGGCTGCTGGGCGCCAGGAAGGAGAGGGTGGGGTCAGGGACCTCAGGCTCTTGAGA